AGGTGAGCGCCCCGCCCCGTGCCCCGCCCACAGCCCCGCCCTGGGGCCCAGGGGCTCCCGGAGAGTCGGGGAATTGCACTTTGGGGCCTGATCTTTCCACGCCCACCGCAGGGCCCGTTAAAATCCAACTCGGGAGAAGAGCTGGAGCAATCCCCGGAAATCCCAGCGCACCGCCTCCCTCAGCCCAGGCCGGGCTGGCGGAGGGCACAGCTGAGATCGGATCAAACTCTGTTTCAAGGGAAGAGATGGAGAAAATCCCAAATGCCGTCGCCGCCGTGGAGGTGGAGTCCTGGAGACTTCAAGGAGGGGAAGAGGGCGTGAACCTGGACCGGGGGCTGGACTGGAGCAGATCTGGGCTGTCTGTTCGTGGGTGGGATGGGGCCGCTCAGTTGCAAGCTTTCTAAGCAGGAGTCCCCAGTGTGGCTGCTCCCGGGAGCTGCTTCACTGCGTTTACCTTAGTGTGTTACAAGTTATTTGCTTGCTTACTCCCTCCCAGAGCACACAACTACCTCAGGGCCTTTGCACGTGGGGTTCCCCTGCCCAACACCCTCCTCTCCCACTTATCTGCATGGTTCATTCATTGCCTTTTCAAGTCCTTGCTCAAGAGTTGCACCCAGCTAGGGCCTTCAGAGCTCCGATTCCAGTCTGGGAGGGGGCTCTGGACGGCTGGCCCAGCCCTTCACTCCGCACGCCCCAGCTTGGAGCCCCAGCCTCTCTGTCTCGGGATAGTGCTCTGCCTCACCTGGAGGTTCCCACTGCCTCCCAATGCTTGTGGTAATCGCTAGGACCCTCATAGCTGCCTCAGAGGCCGGGGTGTTTCCTGGCACAGCTTGAGGGGACCCCACATTGCTTCTAGAAGCCGGGCCTCTGGGCTGCTCTGCATTCTTGTGGCTGCGCCTCACAGGGCCCAGCTGTATTCCAATCTATAATCCATTAACTGCCTGTTCATGAGGTCTGGAAAGTCGGTCCTAAGCCTGATGATGCAGGAGCAGTGGCTCTCAGAGTCTCTGAGTGAGCCCTGCCCTTGGGGACATTTTCACAGCTCATGAGCCGGCAAAGGCAGGCAAGGCTGTCCGTGTAGGGCACCGCGCCGTGACGCCCGCTCCCTTCCCAGCATAGAGGCTGAAAGCCGGGCCTCCCTGCAGCTGCGTGTGAGTCCTGCCTCTACCTGCGTGGATGCCCAGGTTCTTTGCTGCAAGCGACAGCAGCCAGTGACACGGAAGGTCACAGAACCCCAGAGCCCGACTCCAGGAATGACGACGGCGGCTTAATTGGGCCAAACATTTTCACGAGCGAAACAATGGGTTGGATGTTTTTTTCTGGCAACACAGCCTGAAGGAGAGGTTTTGCACCCGATTTAATGGGAGCGCAGAAGGTTTTCTGTATGCAGGGGCTGGGAAGGAAGGAACTTCGGGGTGACAGCGGAGAGAAAATCACGACTAGCTTTGAACAAACATCTACCCCATGGTAATAAGCTCCCCTGGGGAATTTCCAGAAAAGGAGAAGGGAGACGGGGTAGGAGGGGCAAGGGTGGCGACGTTGGGGAGGACGGCAGGGAAATGGACCTCGGCAGGCCCTGCTTTCCTGCAGCCGGGATGGGACAGGGCTCACTTCCTGTCTGGGGAGATGGACCTCAGGGCTGACCCTCGTGGGCCACCATCACGGCATGCAGAGCTGGTGTCCAACCCCTCCCCCGTTCCGTTTCAGACCTTAAATTACAAATATACTTATTGTTTTCCTCCTAGTTTCATTTGCCTGGAGGTTATGTTTGGCAGTGTGAGGTCAGACTTTGTTAATCATTTTTTTAAAGTACCTGGGTCAAGACATTTCAAGGACCTGGCCTTGTGTCCCTGTTACGAGCTTGAGGTATGGGGTCTTTGCGTTAGGGAATGCAACTCACCTTCTAGAGCATGTTCAAAGCTGTCTTGATTAACTGGAAGAGAAATCAGAGAGTGTTGGTCAGTGCAAAGTGAATTCACTCTGTGTGAAATACAGCCGGGAAAAAAAATAGATGCGGAAGCCCACGCCACACTTCGTTAAAGTTAGTGCTACCTTTGCACGTATCTTTGGCCGCTGCCACAGTAGTATCTGATCAGTTAAGTTCTCCAGGGAAGACGAGGTAAGAGGGTAGAGGTATGAAAGCACTAACGGGAACAGTGACTAATTATGAAGCGCCTGATATCACATTGTCATTGCCCTTTCACAGACAGGCACACAGAGGCTCGGAGACGTGCAGTGGCTCTCTGGTGTCACGCAGGATCTGGGAGGTGAGGGTGTGATTTCAGAAGGACCGCGTGGCTCCCGCCTCCACGCCCACGGTGCCGTTGGGAGGTTCAGAGGCTCTGTTTTCACGTGGGGCAAAGCACTGCAGAACGGTGGTCTCTGAGCCCCCCGACCCCAGCGAATTGCCTTCCTGCTTGCCACACACAGTTAGGGAAACCTCGTTTCATTTGTGTTCCGTATCTGTTGACTCGAACCTGTATCCACGTGAAACTCTTTCATTAACTTGTGTCTCCTAAAAACCCCAGGAGTCCAGGATGACGGCACGGCTTCCCAGGCCCAGGCGTCGTGGCCATCCTGCCAGCTGGACACGGAAATACCCCACCAAAGATGCAAAGCCCCAGAAGCAGAGGGCAGGGCGGCTACATCCACGTCTTACCGAACCCCAAGACTGCCCGACTGGAGGGGCGATTGCCAAGTCGGACCCGGAAAGTTAACTATTGCTTGGTTTCTCTTCCAGGAGGAAGCCCAAATATGCATTAATTAATGAAAGATTAAGAGAAAGTGGAGATGGCGGAGGCAAAGTGGCGAAGGGGAAACGGTGTGGGCGGTGAAGGGATTGAAAATGACCAAGAAGTGCACGAATACATGCCTCAAACAGACGTAACTATCACGCATAGCAAATGCACACTAACAGAAAGTAGGAAACAAAGTCGCCAGTGCATCATGACAACCAGGCCAGCTGAAAAACCCTGGGTAACGGCTGCCCCGGCCTGTTGTGGCCACATTCACAGGTGGGAGCCGGATCTCCGAGCTCGAGAGGGGATGGTGTGTGGAGGCGGAGACTTGGGGGTCCAGGTCGCGGGCTGGGGCCCCCGCAGTGGCAGGGGTGGCTTTCTAGGCAGAGGACTCGAGCCCTGAGCCAGCACCCTCTCTGTGTCTGCCGTGGGTGCCCCCAGGCTGTGCAGCGGCCAGGAGGACCTCGCTGACTCCGCTCCACGCTCCTGGGCTCCCCAGGCCGCGGGCTTCTATTTTTTACACCTCACCTAGGCTCGGGCGTTTTGTTACAGCCAGCGCGCTGCGGGGAGAGCGCAGGGCAGAGGGGCACCCTGCCAGAGGAAGTTCAGACTGCAGGGAGCCCGACCCGCCCCCCGAGGCCCGGTGTCCCGCTTACCTTTACAGACGGGCAGGGGCCCGTTCCAGTGTGACGGCTGCCCCAGGATGCAGCGGATGGTCACTTCGCCCATGAGCTCGAAGCCTTCGTAGCACATGAAGGTGAGGGACTCTCCTGGGAGGTACAGCCGCTTGTACAGGATCTGGTACCCGTTTTCAGGCAGCCCCGGGTTGTCGCACGCCAAGGACTCCTCCGCTGAAACGCAACACAAGTGGGGCTCTGGTGACACGAAGCCGACCGGGACGCCTAGCTCAGCCCGCCTCTGGCACCGCCCCCCACGGCCGAACTGTTTCCGTTCCCCAAAGTTTCCTTCCTTCCTCCCGCCTCTGAGCACGCACACGTGGACACCGCGGAATAAACCGAACTGCGGCATCTGGGCTCGGAGCTGGGGTCATCCCCCTCCCGGCCGAGTGACCTCCAGCAAAGGCACAACCCTTGTGGTTCGTTCCTCGCCAGCAAGCCGTTTATACTTACTTCCTGTCGGGGGATTGGTGAGGTAACAGCATAGCACGCTCCCGGCGTTCTGGGCACGTTGTGGGCTAATGGTGCATTACAGCGGCGTTTCGTTAAGAGAAGTCCTCAGCGCTCCCCGCGTCCCTAACCCACTGGGCCAGCCCGTCCCGGGCGCGTCTTTCAGCACCCAGGCCTTGCCTCTCCTCCTGCAGGAAGCCTTCTGCCACCAACCGAGTCCTTGCTTCCTCCATCGGCGCGGCATGCCCTGTGCCACTCGACACAGCGCCCGCTCCCCGCCCTCCAGAAGAGTTTGCGGGACTCCGAGGGAGCCGCGCTGCAGGGCCCGACCTAACCGGCTCACCCCGCCACCTGGTGGTCACTCTCTGGAGCTGCAGCCGGGAAGTCCCAGCCTACGGCGCGTTCAGCCCGCAGCCCGTCCTAGCCCGGCCTGTATTGAATTCTTCTCTCAAGTGGGATGAGCAGTCAGCAACGCTGCTTTGCACACAGGACTGCAAGTCCTAAAACATCCAACATATTTAAACATTATTAAATTTAAATTTTAAATTGTGGTAAGATCCTCACACCGGTAACTGACGTTAACTTCTTAACCGTTTGAAGTGTGAGGTTCAGAAGCACCGGGCGCGCTCGCATCGCGTACAGCTAATGTCCACAGCTCTTGTCCTCTTGTAGATCTGCGACTCTCCGTGCATTAGACGACTCCCCCTCTTCCGCTCCCCTTGTCCCCGGCACCCACCACTTCCCGTCTCTACGACTTTGGCCTCCGTGAGGCTCTCGTGGAGGTGGAATCGTACAGATTGTGCCTTTCGGGGTTGGCTGATTCCACCGAGCACTGTGTCCTCAGGGTCCACTCCGCCGTGGCAGGCGTCAGAATTTCCTTCCCTTGCAGGGCTGAGCGCTGCTCCAGGGTTCGGACAGACCACGCTCGTATCCCTTCCTCAGGGGCCATCGGGCTGCTCCCACGCCGTGGCCATTGATAACGGGGCTTCGTGGATGTGGTTGTACCGACACTTCCTCGAGTCCCTGATTTCTGATCTTCGGGCCGGCCCTACCCACAAGTGAAAGTGCTGGGTCGCACAGTAATCCTTTTTAATGTTTTGAGGACTTGCTGTGCCGTTTCCCACAGCGGCACCCCATTGTACATCCTCACCAACAGTTCCCCAGGGTCCAGTTTTTCTACTTCTGACCTTTCCTTCTGGACCTGGCTGTGACCCTGTCCTCACAGATCACGTGCTATACCTGCTGTGTGCCCTTCCGAGAAACAGGAGGGGAGGAACTTTCGTCGAGAGCTTCAGACCCAGCTGGTTAGTGAAACTCGCCCGATACGTTTTGTGTTTTTTACCCAGTGCTCCTAGGGGATCGGAGCAGAGCGCTTTCTGAAACTTGCTAGTACCATGCCTGCCGTCTCATCCCTGCAAGCTTCACATCAGGGCATGGAGCCTGGGAAGGCTTCTTCCCGCTGGAGCATCCCGGTGTCCTGGAGGGGATGTGGCTTCTCCGGTCTTGGCTTCCAACTCCGCTTCGTGTCCTGCCTCCCCGGACTCTTCCCAGCCCCATGGTGAATGGGTCGCGGTTGGCGGATGCACAATGCTGTTCACCCTGGCTGGTTTGGCCTGTGCTTCTCCCTGGCCCTGCAGGCCCCTTCTCCTACCTACAGGTGAGCTGGTGCCCAGGCGCTAAGGCAGCTCTTAGTGACCTCTGCTGGGGGACCTGTGACTGGCTTCTAACCAATAGCAGGGCAGAGGTGATGGGACGTCACTACCACGATGGTGCTTGTGTCTTGCTAGAGATCTTCTGGGACTCCATCAGTCAGCCATGCTGTGAGCTGCCCTGTGTGGTAAGGATGGAGAGGCCTCTGGCCAGCCGCACGCAGGGAACTGAATCTTGCAGACGGCCGCGTGGGAGACAAAGTGGATCCTTCTCTGCCTGAATCTCTAGGTGAGACTCTAGCTTCAAGGTCTCTCTTGTGAGAATTTCCAACCAGAGGCCCTAGCTCCGCTCTCCCTGCACTCCTGAGCCACAGAACAGCATGATCACAAACACAGGTTGTTCGATGCATCTCACTGCAAGATGAATCTTTAGAAACCGCTGAAGACCCAGGTCTGTCTCTGATGGCACGGATCTCTGTGTCCTGGAACCTGCACGGGCCTGGCACGGTTCCATTCCTTCCTCTGCATCTCTTTCCCACATTGCAAACGGCTCTGATGCTTGTGCCAGGAGTCCCAGCACCCGGCACAATGCCTGGTTCTCAGGACACATTGATTTCTTCAGTCAACTGATGATTTCTTCAGTCACCCAATGATTTCTAGGTCATTGCTATGTCCTTGCAATAGGGGACATGGAGGTGAGTAGAACAGGTAGCATCCCTGTCTCTAGGGGACCCACGGGTCAGAGACTCCTTGTATAATGCAGGGTCCTCACTGGAACCTTTCCCTTTGCGAATATGACTTACTAGCTGGCTCTTTTTAACTCATGCCGTGTAAATTTAAGAATAACCACTGAGTTTCCACAGATCGGGTTGGTTCATGTAACAGTCAAGATTTCTGGCTTCTTCTGAAGCATCAGGCGACCAGCAATTAGCCGGTGGATTTAAGCGGTGTCTGTCTCCTTAGAATGGGACTGAGGTTCCTTCTAGCCGAAATGCCTACCACTCCTTATTGCCTCACACATAGCACTCACCTGGCCCTGTAGGCTCTTAACTGGATCCCTTCCCAGTGGGCACACAGTTGAATCGTTGAAGACAGGTTAGCAAAGTTATCACCACTCGTGAAGAATTTGGGCTTCGATCTCCTTAAAAGGGAGACGGTGGGAACCTGGCTTCCACCCTTGAGGCGGAAGGATTTTTCCGTATACTCCCATGTGGGCCTTCATCAGCACTTGGGAGCTGTTTTCTTTCCGCCTTGGACATTCAGCCAGTCCAGGGACTGTCCAGGCACTGGCATCTTGTGTGATCCCGGCAGGCCTGAGGACCACACGTCCAGTAGGGAGCAGGAGGATAACCAGACGTCCCTCCTGCCCCCCGGCTCGCGGTCAAGACCTCCAAGGAGGCCAGCCGGCGTGTCAATAAGAAGTGGCAGGTGCTGTTAGACTCAGAGCGGTGGTTAGGCCAAGGTGTGAGTGGCGGTGCTGGGGCTGCGCGGATCCCGTGGACACAACCCCCAGAGAGGAGGCTGCACCTCACGGCCTCATCCCACACGGGGTCACAGATCATTCTCCCGCTAAACGAAGGTCACCTGAGTCCTTGAGGTTCGCTGCCAGCCCTTCTGGGAAGGTGGCCCCTGCAGCGAGGCCCAGGTCAGGTGCTTCCTGGAGGCCGGCACGGGTCCCTTTTGGGCAAACCCACTGTGATCCACCAGGGGTGAGGCCTAAGAGACCCGGCAGCACGTGGGCTGGGGTGGGGACTGTTCCTCTCGTGTTTTGACGTCTTCTTTTGTAAGCAGAGTAGGCCTGCATTCTTTCTGCGGCTGTGGGGAGCAGTGCTGGAGACCCAGAGTCTAACACTCAGGCAGGTGCCGCCACCCGGAGCCACATGCACAGCACCCACAGCTGTGCTAGACGAGATTAGCATCTGGACAAGCCCCAGGACGGCTGAGCTCCCCGGGTCCCTCTGAGAACACTGAGCTGAACCCACGGCTGAGTCCTCAGCAGCCTGGTCCACGGTAGGTGCCCTGACCATCAGGCCCATGCAAGGAGGGTCACCGAGACCAAGCAGTCAAGGGCCCAGAATGCGGATCCCAGCGTGTGTCTGAGCACAGTGGTTTCTCGGAGCCTCAGTTCCCTCGTCTGTAAAATGGGCTTCTCTTTGGGTTATGATGAAGAGGACGCCAGCTCCTGCTGTGAGCAGAGCACAGCGTGAGCACGGGAAACCCTGACTCTCCTGACGCTTCCTGTCCTAGTCTCACACCACTGCCCTGTTGCTTACTGCACATTTTAAAAATTTCTATTGACCTGTTTCTCCAATTAAGCTATGCTACAGAATTTAGCCTCACCCTAAGCAATACCCCCATAGTCACAAGTTTTGGATGTTAGTAGTTTAATTATTCTAACTTCTAAGGCCGAACAAGGCAAGAAAGTGCCCTCATCTGGGCCCTGCCATGTTGGTGTCACCAGGGGTGCGTTTAACGCTCGCTGGCCAGCACCGCAGGTCCGTTCTGGAGCCCAACAGTGCAGAACGCTCCCGGGATCCTTTTTCCAAGGCAACAGACACGGACTGTCCACCTCTTCTGCGCCAGGCCTGGCTAGAGATGTATTCGTCTTGAGAATTATGATTGGTTTTCCCAGAATTCGGTCTAGCAGGGCAGAGAGGTCAGCTCACTGCGATCACAGCCTAGACCGGAAATGCAGAGGTGGAACCACCTCTCCCTCGCCCTGCAGGGGTGGAGGAGGCTGCCTAGGGCCTGTGAGAGAAAACCCCACCGCAGAGCCTGCAGTTCAAGAAGATGACCAGCAGGCGGCAGTGGCAATCCCGAAGGCATTTCCCCTAACCCTTTCCTGGAATTTTCTTTCACGCACTAACAGAGATTAATTAGTACAACAAACATTTACCGAGCACCGTCCAAGTGCCAGGCACTGATCTTGGCCCTGGGAATACAACGACGAGTAAGACAGACCCAGGTGCTTTCTGCGAGGGCGAGGCAGGAGGATTGTAAATTCAGTTGCAGCCTGGACAAATCAGCGACTTGGTGAGACCTTGTCTCAAAACAAAAAATAAAAAAGGCTGGGGGTGTAGCTCAGTGTGAAGGCCCTGCTGCATTCGAACCCCAATCACACACACACACACTCACACTCGCGTGTGAAGACACGTAACCTAATTCATTCCTGTATGTGTGGTACAAACGTGGCTGCCCTGTGTCTGGCACAGTCCCAGAGACAGTGAACAGGAGACCAGGGATCGGAACCGTCTGGGAAGAGGCCTGGTGCCTGCCGGTATTCTCACCTGGGCGAAGGGCTGGGATCTGGTTATCGGGGCTGTGACCTCACCCTTTATTTAAATTTAACCAACACCTCGGGGTTTGCTTTGTAAAAGTCCCCCTGCAATTCTAAAGTTCAGCAGGGGCTTAGCGCTAAAGCTTTGGTATCTTGGCACTGTTAATACATTAAATCACCATTTAATTGATTCATTTCTGAAATGTTTGAACATCCATCCTGCATTCGATAATTTGCATAGATTACTCCTAATCCTCCAAATCCTCAGAGGTAGGAACGGTCTTGACCCAGATAGCCGGCGTTTGCCCGGAGCAGCCAGGGAGACCGACCCTGTGAGGCTGGATATCCAGGATGCATTTGGTGTTGCCACACAGACCTGATCCTCGACCTCAGTTTCCTCTAAGCGGCTGGAGCTGCTCTTCAGGGCGGTGGCTTCAGGGGCGCTGCAGCTCCTTCCCCTTGGGTTGTGACAACGGCTGGTGTCTCCAGAGACCGAGTGAAAAATGTTCTCTGGGGAGCAAAATCGACCTTCTTTGGAAACCACCGATCCAGGACCTTAAACACTCTGGTCGCAGTGGATGCGACGTCGTCCTGTGCTCTCTCAAAGGCACTGGACAGATAGTGTACAGACACACACACGCCTGCTTCTCTATTTTTCTCTCCATTTCCCATCTTTAACTTTAGGGAAAACGTCTACATAATGAAAAGCTGTGGGAGAAGTTCAAGCCTGGCTGGGCCAGGTGCACCGCACTCCCGTCTCCTGAAGAGGCTGAGTTAACTCGCCTACGTGCATAGGTGCTGGATTCAACGGTCTACACCCCGCCCCTAGTCTGTGACTCCTTCGCCTCCCAAGAAAAATCACTCCAGCGTGTCTGGCCAATAAGATATCACCAAACCTTAGCTGCTCCTCCCGTGCTCCGGCCCCAGGGTGGCCTGGGCATTTCCTGCATAAAGCGGAAGCGATCTAGAAACCTCCCGGAGTCTGCCTGGTGATTCTGCGCCTTCCTCCCAGTCCGAGCTCCCAAACCTTGTTCCATGAGTGGAGGACAACAAAAACCCATGGGAGCACATGCTCAGAGCCGACATGGCTTGTAACGTGCCCCCCACGGCAGCATCAGAACCCATCACTGAGCACTGCCTGTGCGCCAGCCGCACCGCGTGCAGTTTCTGTGTTCATGGCCAGCTCGCTCTGTTTTCGATCCTTTCGCTGCCTGGCGTGGATCCTGTACATGTGACGGCTCTGCCGTAATAAGAGTTCTTCTCGTGCCCAGGTCCCCGTGCTGTAACGAATTTCTCCGAGAAGCCGCTCTCGCAGGAACCGGAGTTTCTGAGTGAACATGGACGTTTGTGCCGGCCAAGGTGAGGCCATGGGGGACCCCTCATCGGCGCCTTTCAATCACATGTTGTGGAACTGATCTTTTGTCTTTACGTGTGTAGGTAGTACTTTTACCATGGCTACTAATCTGTCAAGATTTAGCTACTAATTAGGTTGTTTGGGTCGAACTGATTACTAAGTGGGACTCGAGTATTTTAGCCTAGAAAAGTCTGCGAAAAAAGTCTCGCGTTGAGGAAGTCTGGGAACCTCCGCCCCGCATGTTCCCCACTGAGGAGGCACCAGCTGCTGACCACGTGGGCTACACCCTCTGTTTAAAAGCTTGGTCCGCTGGGGGCGCTGTTGGGAAGTGTGGAACTTGGGGGGCGGAGGGTGGTCCTGAGATCGCTGGGGCGTGGCCTCGAAGACCCCGCCTCTTCCTCTCTTTCTGCCTCCCCGTGGCATGGCCCGCAGGGTTCTTCTGCTGCAGCCTGAGCTCCGTGTAGGGCGGGCTGGAACCTCCGAGTCCCGAGCCCACAATGAGCCTTTCTTCCCCCTGAGTCGATTATCTCAGGCATTGGTCACAGTCACAGAAAGCTGGCGAGCGCTCCCTGATTGGCAGACAGTGTTGTTCCTTTGCACTGATGAGGGCTTTGAGGCCCAGAGAGGGCAAGCTATCTGCTCCAAGTCACCCGGCCGAAGCGTGAGTGCGTCTGACTGCAAATGCGAGATTCTCCCTCCACCTACAGCTGACCTGCTGTCCTCGGAGCAGCGCAGGGTACACGGCGGGAGACCACATAGACTCCCTTGGCTTCATCTCCCAGCTGGGCCAAGCCCTGTCCTGGGCAACAGAGGCTGGGCGTGGAGGCTGCAGGCCACGCTGTTCCCTCTGCCTGTGCGTGGGCTGCCGTGGCAGGCTTTGGCTGGCTGTAAAGCACCCGCACTCTTTCCGGAGGCGGCGCTGCAGCGCGGGGCAGGGCAGTGCTTTTGGGCTTTGTCGGGCTTCGGTTAGAACCCTGGCTTCTCCCCTTCCCTGCTGTGTGATTGCAGGAAGCTGCTCGTCCTCTCTGTCCCCTTTCACCTACTGTTGAGCAGACACATGCAGACTGGTGACCGCTCCCCGGGTCCGTGCTGGGGAAGGGCTTGGCTATTCCGAGGAAGCCGACGGCCTGGGCTGTTCTCCCTCAGTCCATTGAACGCTTCAGCGCTGCGATATCTTACGTCCAACAACTGCACCCTTCACACTGCCTTCAGACCCTGGCTGATGACACCCTTCAGGCCCAGACGCCTCCATGCTGGAGTCTGAACCACCTCCTGAGCCAAGTGTCACTCGCTGCAGCCACAGCCCGGACTTTTCTCCGCACTTCCGGGAGCTGCAGCCCGGGACTGGGCCCACGCAGGGAAGCTCTCAGCCTGCTCTGCGCCTCCGGGGCTGAGCTTGCGGTAGGGGACCCAGGAGGGGTTCGCTGCTGGCGGACCTGGGAGCCACGTAACCGGAGGGGTGTGGGAGCCGGGCCTCGTGAGCACATGCCTTTCCTTTGCAGAAAACGGCATCTCCACTTTTTGATGTCTGAAAATAGGTTTTTATTTTTAGCTTCTCATCTCTGGGTCTCTGCAGCTGGAGTCACTAACGTGGCTTCTGAACACACTTACTGTCATTAGGAGGAGACGGGAGCTGCACTGTCCCGAGTGTGTGTGTGTGTGTGTGTGTGTGTGTGTGTGTGTGTGTGCGGGCGGGGGGCGTTCAGAGCTGCAGGTGCTGATTGGCTCAGGTCTGACTCTGCAACACGGTGTCAGCAGGTTCTTCTTTCCAAACCCACACCAGGGAGCCCTCAGCAGCCTCCCTGCGCGGGGCTGGGTCTAGCGAGCCCTGGAACCTTGGCTTTCTGCTGGGGCGCTTGTCTCTGCCTCTGTTATCACATGATGTGGACACAGTGCCTGGGTCTCCCTCTGTGTCCAGAGTTTCCTCTTTTTGTTTTATTTTTATTTATTTATGTTGTTCTTGAGACAACGTGTTGCTATATGGCCCAGGCTGGCTCTGAACTCCCGGGCTCGAGCGATCCTCGTGCCTCAACCACTCTGCCCAGCTTCCTCTCTCTCCAGGACACTCACCCTCCTAATCCCGTGCGTGCGGCCTCCTCCTGAGCCGATCAGACCTGCAGAGACCCTATTTCCACGGCCGCGGGAGCAGGTGCTGGGGTGGGGATTTAAAACACTAGTGCGAGACAAGCGCTCTGCCACTGAGCTCTACCCTGGCACGGCTCTGTGCCTTCTGCCTCCTGCACGCTCGCTTTTGGCAAGGGTTGTGAGCCTGACCGCCCTTCTGCTTCCCTGGGAAGCTTTTCAAAGGCTCAGGGTTTGGTCTCTTGCCCTCTACAGTAGCCGAGGCGGCAATTTCACCGAAGACGGCAAGGCCAAGCTCCCGAGTGAGGAAAATTCATGAGGTTTAGCAAGATGCTTGATGGTCTACCCTGAACATTCTAGAACAAGTCCCCCTAGTCACTGTTAACAACCGTGGGGCCACGGTGAGAGTGAAAACGCCCCCCTCGCCCCTGCTGGTTGCCGTGGAGCACACCTGGAACTCCAGCTGCTAGAGAGCCCGAGACAGCAGGACCGCAGGTTTGAGACCACCCTGGGCGGCTTAGTGAAACCCTATCTCAAAGCAAAACTGGCCGGGTGCCGTGTAGCTCCGGGCTACAGCACTTCCCCAGCATGCGCAAAGCCCAGCAGCGTTCCAGCCTCACCACCACAAAAACAAGCCCTACAGTCCCAGAGCGGAAGGCCCCTTCCCAGCAGGCGACCCGAGTCCTGCGCAAGAGGAAACAAGCCTGAGTCCAGACGCTGCTGCCTGAGAAACAGACAGGACTCACAGACGCAGTGGGGCAGGCGCGAGGTCCAGATGGGCGTCCCGGTCTCGCGGCTGTAGCAGGTGAGCAGCGAGCTCCCTTCCAGCACGAAGCCAGGGTCGCAGGTGTACTGGATGGTGGTTCCCACCAGCAGCACCGGGTCGGAGATGAGGCGCGTCGAGTGGTCCACCTCTCCTGGGTCGGTGCAGTACATAACTGTGGAGACAGAACCGGGCCGGGCGGCCTCGATCAGCAGTTTGCTCGGAATGGTCTAGAAATTGTCCCCTTTGCTCCTGTACTCTGGAGGAAGTTAGTGCATCTTTTGCTCGACAAAATGGCTGGAGAATAGGCCAGGAGGGAAGATGCTCACATTTCATTCCTCTTTTAGGAATTTGCCCAAAGAATTTACATGAGGGCCCGAGACTGAGGGATAAGGTTACGTACTAACCCATTATCCGTAATGATCACAAGGAAACAGTACAAACCCCTTCAACCCAGGAAGAGTTCAACGCAATGAGCCCTTCCGGGAAACGCTGAGCGGCCACGGAAGGAATGAAGGGAGGTCCTTTCCCTGCTCTCTCTGTGGCCCTTAGACACAGCCGGACATGCGGCCATTGCTCCTTTAATTAACAACATCAATACAGATAAAAGAAAAACAATAAAACAATAAAAAACGAATGAAGTGGACAGTGTGAGAGATGAAAAGACATCCGTATTTCTGAGTAAAAGAAAAAAAACCAGTTGCTAAGCAGTTTGCATAAATGGAACCTTTTATGGTAAAATGCCTCTATCTGTAGCTTGTCCCCTCTCCCTCCCTTCCTCCCTCCTTTCTTTCCTTCTTTTGTTCTGTCTGTCCATCCATCCATCCATCCATCCACCCATCCATCCATCCATCCACCCATCTGGGCATCGATACATAGATATGCATAGTCATAGCTGTCTATTTAGATAAATACATAATAAACAGAAACAGCTATTCAGATAGATACCTAATAGAAATAGCTGCTTTATCCAGATCTCTGTGTGCCTGCACATACAGGTGTGGGCCTGGGTAACGTCTCACACATGTATGCAAATATACACAGTTGAAATATAGAGAAGTGTTTAACAGCTACCATTTCCAGAGAGAAGGTTTCACTTTCTGTGTTATAATTCTAACAGTGCTTGAGTACCACGAGGCAGCCTTTGTGGTCAGTGTACTCTGAAAGCATGGTCATACGTGTCTGTGAAACTGGAGGGTGCTTTAGAGCCGCAGACAGCATTCACAGTGTCTGGTGGCCTGCGGGCGGGGACCCCACTGTGCCAGGAGGTTTTGCTGACCTCGTTTCACTAGAAGAGAAAGCCGTTTGGGGTCTCATCCTCCTCAGACAGAGATGTGAGGATCCCAGCGTGGGACCCCGGAAACACTCTGACGCAGAGTCTAACGTTTAAAGAAATGAAAAATGTTTAAGTGGAAAAAAAAATCTGTTTACCCTGACTTGATTTTTCTTGGCTGTAAATAAGGTGAGCAAGAACACTTGTCTATCAAGGGTTAGGGTTAGGATTAGGTTACTGTTACGTCCCTTTCAAGCCCCTAAGCTATTTTGAATAATGATGATGCTATAGACAATTTGAATGAGTTGGTGATGGGTGAGCTCACTCCTCACCTGTTCACTATCACACACACACACACACACACACACACACACACACACCCCACGTACTGTTGCAGAAGGTTTAGGACCATTTTTGCAGCCAACTTTGTGGATCTTTGGCAGGTTCTTTGGAGCCTCCTACAATAAATTTTCTTTGATGTTGAGAAGTTTACAATGGGAGTCATAGGTAATCTCCACACCCCTCCCTCAGCAACACCTTTTCCTGCTAACACTTAGTATTTCTGGTGGTGCCCTTCTGGTCATTCAGGAGTCCCGGCAAGTGGGTTGGGGTCTGGGGCAGGCGGCTGCTTCCAAACGAAGCTCCTCCCACTGGTGTGCACTCCAGGAGCGCTTCCTTTATCCACCTCCGTTTCATGGTGCTGGACTCAGATCTGTGAGCCCGGCCTACACTCCTGGGAAGCAGGAAGGGTGCAGGCCCAGGGACGCAGAACACTGGAATGGAGGCTCTTTGAGGAATCCGGCTACATCCGGTGACAGGGCTTTAGAAGTGGGGTGGTGGGATCCAGCGTCAGCTGTTTCTTTTTGCTCGGCTGCTACAGGTGATGAAAGGCCTGGATTGAACTGTCCTCACACGGGCCGCACACACGGCCGTTTGCCACAGTTCTGCTATTCCCTGTCTCCTCACACTGAATCTGTTTCACCCATTTCCATCATCTGCCAGGCACTGGAGGCACGTGAGGCCGAGAGGACCCCGCAAGCTGGACAGCATTAGCAGCACTGACCAGTTGGCCCGGGGTGAGAGGAGCCAGTGCTGCATTTAAATACCTACGCGACTTGAGGCGGAAAAGGCAAAATGCCCCTGGGAGGGACTTACCATCCACTGGCTAAGGGGAGAAAACAAGAGGCTCCTTACTTTTCTCACAGAACGGGGGGTCGCTGCTCCAACTGAGGTCCCACTGGCAGGTCAGGGTGTCGCTGCCCACGATGTCATAGCCGGGGTCACACTGGTACGTGATTCTGGCTCCCCTCACCAGCTCCGTGTGAGACGTGGTCTTCCAGCCGTTCTGGATCTCAGGCAGATCTGAGCAGGAGTCATTCCTCGACACCTCTTTAAAACAAAGACGTCCTCCTCAGACGAGGGGCTGGCCTTTCTGCTTGGGTTTCCCGGCATGAATGTCGAGGAAGAGAACATAGAAGAAAAGGCCTCGGGAACTAGGTAGCACCCTTCCCAACCCCTTGAGAGCTCTTCTGCAGCAAGATGACAGTTACCTTTCCCCCCAGGCCGTTGGGCTCACCAAACATTATCGTGGTTTGATAAAACCAGTTTTGGTTTCGGAGCCAGGTGGAATCCTGGCCCTGCCACTTGCGGGACCTAGAGATCAGCACTCTGGCTGGATCTCTGGTTCTTCACCATCACGAGGGAATGATGGTGACAGTGCCCACCTGCCTGGGCAGACAGCTCCCAAGGTTCCCCGGCCACACCCTGCGTGGCCTCCAGTGGCACTGCGTGGGCCACCGCTAAGATGACTGCATATAACTTCCAGGGTGGTTCCTCGGTTCTTTGGGGCCACTGGCTCTACAGGAAGCAGCTGCCACATGAGGGTGCTCAAGAAACCCTCAGGAGGGGTCCACGGGGCAGAGACAGGCCTGCGGTGAACAAGTGGCACTGGCCTGGTGAGCAGCCTGTGCGGGTCACCCTCAGCCACGTACTCAGGGAATCCCAGCTCTCGCTGCTGTCTCTGCTGCCCCACACGAGAGGCCACGGGGCAGATCCACCCAGCCAAGGCTGCGGTAATGCACCGGTACAGCTAATCTGGGGTACAGCTATTTACATGACAGTAATAGCTACTCCCGTCAGCTCCATCCTCGAATAGGTGCAAATCCGTGCATTTGGCAAATGAGGAACACCTATACGTGCAATGAATATTCAGACAACGCTTATCTATTAAAATAGAAGTAATTATTGGTAGATTCTTCAAACCAAATTGCATATAATCTGAGAATGTTAACCGTATGCTGGAAAATGCTCCCCCAAGCATATTACCATTCCTGTTGTCCTCCTGCAAAGCCTTGTCACCAAGGCAACCATCCAAAGCCTTCTGTGACTCTTCTCCCGTCCAAGTGCCCACTGCACAGATTTGGAGAAGAGCTAATTACGTCGTGTAATTAATTTGCAGCTCTCATGTGCTTCTGGGGAAAGCAACGTGGCGCCACTGTCTGCGGGAAAGTCATTTGGAGAAGCAAGCCCCGGCTTTTCCTGGGATTTCATCACAGTTTTATTTGGAGAAAGGAGATCTCGTGAGTGTCTGCACGGAGAAGCGGACAGGGAAATGGCTTCTGGAACTGCTTGGTGGGGCCAGGGGATTCTATTTTTAGGCCTTTGAAAAATTAGTTAAGTCCCAGCTTTGGGACACAGCTGCAAATTCTGGAACTATGGAAGAAAGGGGAGAAACGGGGGCACACGACAGAGACGCTGCGAGACTGAGGACGGTCTGCTTGTCTGACTTCTCAGTGTGGCCACCAGGCCGTGGGGCTTTCTGCCTCCTCGGAGATGTGGACTCAGTGGCTGCCACCGTGTCATATGGTCTGGTCCTAACTTAGCCTCATCTCTTACTCCTTGGGTGGCCTCAGTGAAGACACATAACTTGCCCATTTTTCAGTTCCCAGATGGCCCAGAACTGACCGGAAGTTCTGCAGGTCCCCAGAAGTTTATGTGGAGGTTCTGGAAGCATCCGTCCCTTAGGGACCCGTTAACTGCATAAGCGGCCCAGGAATTGGAAGATTTCTCTTCTAGGCCACTTGCCTGAGGAAGCTAAGTGATGCCAGCAACACTAATTGGCTGCTCCAGACTTCAGCACCCTCGGGTACAGAGCGCAGTCAGGTACTGTGGCCCTGTCTCTCCCAAAGGGCACTGCAAGACTTAGCTGATGAGCAGGACAGAACAGTGTTGGGCAAACAGTAAGATGAGTTACATGGGTCTGGCTACTGGTTGGACCAATATTTTGTGAGCACCCTGGTGGTCACTAAAGATCTGAAGTCATGATTTCAGGCTCATCATCAAGCTTAGCAGCAAGGCCCAACTTCTGGGCCGCAGAAGGGCCCCCAGGCTGTGAATACACACTGCTATTCACCAGCTTCTTCTCTAAAGCAGACATCACGAGTCACTCAGAGTACCCCATGGGTCCAGCTGAGACCTCCCGGCCCTTAGTGCTGAACCCCTAGGGAGGCTGTGCTATCCAACTGGAGTTGACTTACAAAATGGAACTTGTTTATTATCCTACGGTTAGAAAAATAAACATGCAGGAGGACCAGTGTCTCTTTGAAAAACATTCCTTACTCAACTCTGCTTTTTCTAGTCCTCTTTCTATGACTGTACACTTGGCTCCAGACAATGGGCCAGTCACAAGGTAGAGCCACAAAGACAGATCTTTGTATCTTTGTATAAGTCAGGGATCAGAATCATACAGGCCCAGAGCTGGGAGCAGGCCTTTCATTCAGTCTAGGAGCTTCAGAACGCTTCTGATGCCTCAGAACCCCCCAACCCTGCCATCTGACTCCTACGTGGAATAAGAGTTACATCTAAGTCTTGTAAAATCTACACCCAGGGCAGCAAATGCCGATCCCGTGACCATGACAGATATCACTGCTCCATCATAGAACCCTTCTCCAGCAACAACAGGCATGGTCTCTGCTGAGTGATTTTCAATACAGCTTTATAGACACAAACAATTCGCTGAATCAAAATTAAAGACAGAGCCAGGTGTCGTGGTACACTCCAGTAATCCCAGCTACTCAGGAGCTTGAGGCATAAGGAGCATAAGTTTGAGGCCAACTTGGGCAACTTAGAACCACTGCAAATAAAACATTAAAAAAGCCTGAGGGTGTAGCTCAGTGGCACGGTGCTTGCCTGACATTCAAAAGGCTCTGGGTTCAATCCCCACTTTTTTTTTGTGGTACCGGGGATTGAACTCAGGTCCTTGCATTTGTGAGGAAGGTGCCTGAACCACTGAGCTAAGTCCCCAGCCCCCAAACCCCACTTTCGGTCTCTCTGTCTCTGTCTCTCTTGCACATGCACGTGCATGCACACAGACACATAGACACAATCATTACCATTCCTGTGAGATGAACTGTGTAAATCTTTTAGTTTTGGGGGGCAGGGTCTTGCTGTGTAGCCCAGGCTGGCTTCAAACTCACAGAAATCCTCCTGCCTCAGCCTCCCAAGAGCTGGGACCATGGGTGTGCATCACTATGCCTGGCATCTTTAGCAGAAATAAGAAGACATGAAACTTCTCTGCCCTCCTCCTCTCCCATATCCCTCAACTACTCGAGTCCTTCTGGTTGTGCATTCCTGGGAAGCATTCTCTAGAGTCCTCAGATGTCTCTTCCACACCATCATGGGCCCCTGATGTTGGCTGTGGACGGGACTGTCTCTAACATTCTCCCTCAATCTCAAGGCAGGAGAGGGGTCTGCTCATTCCTAGATCCTGGGGACTACTGCAGAACGTAGCACACAGGAGATGTCAAGAGATTTTTCTGAGTCAAATTCTTGGGAAAATAGAGAAAATGCATTTGAAAATAAAGAGTGTGTGTGTGCATGTGTGTGTGTGTGTATTCTGGCAGCTGCACAATGTCACACAAATCTAAGTTTCAAGTTCATTTAACAAGAACTCTTCAAGATGTCCCCAAACAGACTGAGGCCAGACTCTCTAGTTCACCTTGATCAGCCTTGGAGATAGGCTTTTGCCCCGCAGCTGAACGCGGTTCTGCAGGACTGACTTGGGCACCAGAGACGCAGTGGCACAACAATGACCTCATCGCTCAGCCGAGAGAAGGGCAGTCTCGGGTGACACAGTGAGCAGGGCCCCCACAGCCAGCCAAGTGGGAGGAGGCCTTGCCCGGAGGGCCCACGCGAGCCGTCCCCTATGAGCCCAGGAGGGAACTCACAGAGTAGCTGCAATCACACTCTGCAAATATTTAGCAGCACAATCAGGGGTAAAAAGGCCCCTGAGAAACAACAAAGAGGATCAATACTTGCGGACGTGTAGCCAGGAGGATGAAAAATGGTCACCGACAGGGAACAGAAAAAGCAAGGGCCCTATGTGAGCATGCAGAGGCTGCCCAGGCCGGTCAATGCAGTAGCTCGTGTTGTAGGTGCAAGGAAAGGCACGGAACAGCTTGTGTGAGGGCGGTGGGCAGTGCTCTAGGCCCAGGGGCAAAAGGAACTGAAGTGTGATGCTTGTACCAGCCCCGGGGTCTTTGGTGATGGGAGGGGGTTAGAAGGATGCGTCCTCCTTTCCCCTGCTCCACCCTGGGGACTGAGGTGCCAGTCCAGGTCCTGGAGAGCAGGCACATGCCCTGACGGAGCCCTCTGGTGGCCTGGAGCGTGGAGCCGCCCATCATTCTGGACAGCAAAAGAAGCCAGGTGTTCATCTCCCCCGTGTCTCCCTGCTGCTCTGCTGCTGCCGCCAGAAGATGGGGGTTGGAGCAACTAGGACAGGTGTGGACCTCCGCTATGCCCCCTAGGACCAAGTCCCTTCTCCTCACGGTGACACTGCAGGGGTGGATCCGGCACTCTGTCAGGTGTTCAAGTCTCTCCCGGGGCTGGGTTCCATGGGATGGCATGGAGTCCCAGTTCCCCACTGCTGGGGATGTGGTGGCAGCTCGGACTAGGGTGGTGACCCTGGCAGGTGTGGGGCGGGGCACTTGGAGTTGATGCACTGCAGGGGAACCGCTCTTCCTTTGAGAAGTCGAGAGGTCTTCCTTGACCTCCCCGTGGCTGCCAGACTGCTCCTCATGGCTCACCTCAAAGCCAAGCAAACAAGCAGTGTCTTCTCCAGTCGTTCTGCCAAGTTCACACTGGCCCTGGGAACCCCAACCCGATCCACCCTCTCACACCCCTCTCTCCTGTGACTACCCCCACTCATCTGTCCCTGCTCACTGACACAGTCCCCCGGTTTCGACAAAGCCACCGTCCCACTGGCCCCGGACTCAGGCATCCTTGACATGGGGCCCGGATTCATCCAACCGACCCCCCATGATAACTGCGCTCCCGTGTGCTGCACGAGCACAGTCAGGCCAAGGAACCCTTTCCCTACTCCCAGGCCCCAAAGTGGGACTGCGCTGCTTGGGCTGTGAGGGCTGCCCGTGCTTTCCTCGCCCTGAATCCTGCATCCTCTCCGATCCACTCCCAGCGTCTCAACTTCAACTGCCAACCACACTCAGTCAGGCAAAAAGGTGCAGGTGATACTCTGAGAAGTGGCAGGAGTATGGGGGCTGAGGGTATAAAATCTTAGCTGACTCCCCGTGAAACGCCGTGAGTCTTCATGTTAGCAGGCATCGTCTCCTACATCCCGGTACCCATCTCGTGGATGAGGCATCGCCTTTTCTCTTCCCTTTACAAATGGCAAAAAGGAGGCTTAGAGAGGTTCAGTAAATTGCCCCCCCAAAATCAACGAATTGAAGAGTTGGTTCTTTGAAAGAATAAATAAAATCGATAAACACTTAGGCAGCCTAATAAAAAAAAAGAAAGAAAGGGCTCAAATGCAAGCAATTAGAAAGAAAAATGGTGAAGTCACAACAGATCCAGCAGAAATCCAGAGGATCATCAATATCTACTTTGAGAACCCGTACTTTAATAAAACACAGAACATAAAAGAAATGAACAGAGTGCTACATACATATAGATTACCCAGTTGAAAGAAGATATAAACATTCCCCAAACCCCAATTACCACCAGTGAAATTGAAAACGTACTTAAAAATCTACCAACAAAGAAAAGCTGATGGCTTCACTGCTGAATTCTACAAGACATTTAGAGAAGAACTATTGCCACTACTCTTTAAACTTTTCAGTGAAATTGAAAGGGAAGCAATACTTCCAAATTAATTCCTGGAAACAAGTATTACTTTGATTCTAAAACCAGAGAAAGACCCTACCAAAAAAGAGAACTACAGACCAATCTCCCTAATGAACGTAGATGCAAAAATCCTCAATAACATGCTGGCAAACAGAATACAGAGGGTCATCAAGAAGATCATACACCCTGACCAAGTCGGATTTATCCCAGGGATGCAAGGATGGTTCAACATATGGAAATCAATAAATGTAATACATAATATTAACAGAATCAAGGACAAAAAAAACCATATGACCATCTCAATAGATGCAGAAAAAGCATTCAACAAAACTCAACACCTATTTTATGATAAAAACCCTACAGAAAATTGGAATAGGTGGTCTTTATCTTAGCTTGATAAAGGCTATCTCTGAAAAGCCAACAGCTGATATCATTCTAAATGGTCAAAACCCAAAAGCCTTCCTGCTAAAATCAGGAATGAGACAAGGATGTCCACTATCACCACTCCTGTTCAATACAGTTCTGGAAACATTAGCCATAGCACTTAGACAAGAGAAAGAAATAAAAGCAACAAAGATAGGAAAGGAATAAGTGAAACTGTCATTATTTGCTGCTGATAAGATACTACATAGAAGACCCAAAGAACTCCTCCAAAAGACCTCTAGACTTGATTGATAGACTCAGTACAGTAGCTGACTACAAAGTCAACAATCAGAAATTAACAGCCTTCTTGTACACAAATAACAGTCTCATTGAGAGTCAAATTAGGGAAACAATCCCTTTCACAATAGCACCCAAAAAAAAAAAAAAAGAAAAGAAATATCTAGGAATCTATCTGATGTAGGAGACAAAAGACCCCTACACTGAAAACTACAGCACTGTAAAATAAAAGATTGAAGAGGATATAAGAAAATGGGAAAAATGCCCTTTGTTCCTGGGTGAGTGGAATCAATACAGTGAAAATGGCCATACTTGCAAAACTGCTATACAGATTCAATGCAATCCTAATTGAAATTCTAATAGTACATTTCATAGAACTAGAGAAAACAATCCAAAAATTCATTTGGAACCAGAAGAGACCTAGAATAGCAAAAGCAATTCTAGGCAACAGAGACATGACGGGGGTATCACAATCCCCAGCTTGAAATTGTACTGCAAAGCCACTGTGATAAAAACAGCATGGTACTGGCACAGAAACAGACCTGAGGATCAGGGGAACCGATTAGAAGACACAGAAACAACTCCAGACACACTCAGCCACCTCATCTTTGACAAAGGAGCCAAACACCCTCACTGCAGGAAAGTTAGCCTCTTTAATAAATGGTGCTGGAAAAACTGGGTTTCAACTTGTCAAGGATTAAAACTAGACCCATATCGTTCATGATGCACTAAACTAAAATCCAAGTGGATTAAAGATCTAAATATTAAAACAGAAACACTAAACTTGCTGGGAGATAAGTTAGGCAGAACTCTGGAAGACATTGGCATAGGAAAGGACTTTATGAACAAATCTTCAGTAGCACAGGAACTGGCACAAAGTAACGACAATTTTTTAAAAAGCTTCTGCACTGTCAGAGAAATCACAAGCAGAGCTAAGAGAATGTGGTAAAATTTTCTTACCAGCTGTTCCTCAGACAAAGGTCTACTATCTAGAACTGAAAAAAAAAAATCAGGTCCCCAAATATAAAGACCCAATTCAAAAATGGACATCTGAAATGAACAGACATTTCCCAGACAAAGAAGTAAAAGCAGCAAATGATCATATGAAAAAGTGTTCAACATTGCTGGCCATTCAAGAGACACTGATGAAAACAACACTGAGATTCCACCTCACCCCAGAAAGAATGGCTGCTAACAAGAAATCAACCCATAACAAATGCTGGTGAGGCTGTGGGGAGAGAGGAACCCTTCTCCATCGTTGGTGGGAGGGCAGACTGGTGCGCCAAAGTAAAAGTGTAAATAAGGATTAAAATGTATAATTGGTATTGTGCAATAGGAAGAAAAGGTCTAAAAGAGTTGAGGAAGTGGGGGCTGGTAGGGGAAAGGTAAAAAGGGAAAAGAAAAAATACGTGAAAAGGAAAAAGATGGAAACAATGCTTTTGTAGGCAGGGAAGGGTGGAGGGGCTGAGGGGAGGGCTGGGGAATGCAGAAAAATAAGTACCTGATAAGTCATGTAAAGGTATAAGATCCCACTGAAGAATGTAACTGTGCTGTATAACTAATATGCACCAATAAATTTAATACAGATTTAAAAAAGCTCAGAAAAGCAAAAATAAATCACCAAAGGCCACACAGCCATTGACGACAGTAGTAGGACTCAAATCCTTGGCCTCCTGTTTAGAGAGTCTGGTCTCTTAGAAACTGTGGCCGTTCATGGTGCTAATACTGTGACAGACCTGTGAGCCACAAGCCTTCAACACGAACAGAGCTGCGCACCACATCCCAGCCCAGACAGAGCTCCCAGCCGGCTGGGACACTCACCCATGTAGTTCATGATGAATCCCTGGCCCTTCCCGAAGATGAGGCCGGCGGGGTCCGAGTGGAACTGGATGGTCAGGTCAGGAGTGGAGGAGTACAGCTTTTGCGGGCCGTTGCTCCCCAGGTACTGGCCCAGGATGTGGGGCACGGCCTCGTCGCCGTCGTAGATGGTCAGGATGTCGCTGTTGCTCAGGTTCAGGCTGGGGGCACAGACAGGAGAGGACGGGGTCACGCGAGGGGGTGGCATCGGCATCGGGCCCCGGGCTGTGGACCAGGGCAGGTCAGTGTGCGGTGCCCTCCCACCACGTGGGACCGGGTCCAGGGCAGACTGGAGTCCGAGACCCTGTCAGGGGACGCCCGCCCACACCACTTCGCTGTCCTGTTACCAACAGCTTTTCTTGGGTCATTCAAAGGTCCCCCATGTGAGGGGTGGGGCAGCCTGCTGGGGCCTGTCCACGCCGAGCCAGGAGCTTGCTGAGGGAGGTTTTCCCTCTCCTGCAGGGAGAAGGAAGCGTTCCATTCTCCTGAGGCAAATGCCCAGGATCAAGTGAGTCCCTCTGGCAGGCCTGAGGAGTGCACTTTAGGGCAGGGGCACCCGACCATGGAATGTGCTGCTGTCACTCTTTGTAGGCCCTAAATATGTGGGCCACGTGTGCAGGTGACCACCCTGCCACAGGCCACAGGGGCGTGGGCTGCCTTGGGGGTGCTGGAGGACGCCGGGGGCCAGCGGTGGCAGCGCAGTCACAGACAGACATGAACTCACATTCCTTTCTTGTGTGGTTCTCGCCTCTCTCTGTCCTCTGTCCCTTACTTCTCTTTCCACTCCCTCTGCTAACATTTTCTGAGCTCCTGCTATGTGTCGGGCACTGTGCTGCCCAGCATGGGGTCACAGAGCAGGGCGGGCTGTTAGCTCACGAGCCAGACATCCGGGGCAGGAGCTCCAGTCTGTGCAAGAGCAGAGGGAAGGAGCCTCTAATTTGGATCGGGCATCATGGAGGTCTCCCTGGACGAGGTGCTGTCCAGGAGCAGCCTGTCTGAGCGCTTCCCCGCCAGAGGTGGGGCATCTGGGAAGCGGCCTGAGCGAAGGTCCTGGAAGCCACTCAGCCAGACAAGACTGCTCCTTCAGACAGGGCTGGCTGTGTCTCCTGCCGGTGGGGAGGGGACCGGGGGTTCCCACCTGTGCTGGGGTCTCAAATGCTCAGGCCTAAGCAGCAGGAACCTGGGGCCTGGAGCGGGTTTGCTGCTGCTGAGGCAGGAGTTGTGTTCCCCCATCCTACTCCCTTCCCCAGCACCTCTGGTGGTGCCTGAGGCTTAGGTGTCCCCAGAAATCTCCATCAATTTCCTCCATAGCACCCCAAACCCAGCTTCTCCTACTTACAGCTGTCTGCTTGCTTTGCACCCCAGGCCTCAAGACACCGCCCCCTGCTGGTTTTCAACTAGACCGAAATTCTGGAGCTGCCCCCTTCCCCTGTACACAGCAGGGGCTCAATAAACGCTCTGGTCGGCACCCGCCTGCTAGAAGGTCATTTGGCGGCAGAAGCAGAGGCGCGATGTCGGCTCTCTCCGTCCTGTAGGGCAGGCCCCTTTCCTCCCGGGACCACGGCACACTCACAGCTCCCCAAAGTGCCGGATCAGGCGGCGGGGACGGCAGACTTCACAGCCCACCCGAGGCTCGCGGGGGCTCCGGCCAGGCAGGGCTGCGCCTGGCTCTCTTCTCTGTCTTCTCAACAATGTCCGCACACCCGCAGCATCTTCGAAGGCTCTGAGTGGCTTTCATTTCCAACCCTCGCAAGGCGCTTTGTTCCCCACAGAACAGGCAGGAGCAGGTGCCGGACGGGGTGCGCACCGGGGCCTGAGAGGTTCCCAGCCTCGTCACTTTGACGCGGGCACGCGGTTTTCTGAAGTCCTCTGTCTGCGAGTCGATCCTGCTCTCCCGCGTCCGTGCCACGGGCCCTGGGGAGAGCGTCAGGCTTCAGAAGGCCGGGATGGGCTCCGGATGAGGGCGGCGCCGGGTCTCCGCTGCTCAGGTCGGTCCAATGCCGCGCCCCTGAGTTCCGACTTTGCTGTCCTCATGGCATTGGCCGCACCGCCGCCGCCACCGTGTCGTCCTCGGCCGAGGTCCCCAAGCCAGGATCAAGACGACAGGTGCCGAGCATTTGTACTGCTGAAGGGAGACACCCAGCTGCGGACTGAGGTCTCCGGACCTGAGCCAGGGCAGAGGCCGGCGTCCCTCGGGGCCTGGCTCGCCCACCCGAAGGCTGTTCCCAAAGGCGTTCGGCATCTCCGTGGGTGAGACGGGAGGGAGCCGCTGCACAGGGCACAGCTGGGCAGCTTCCCCGGGGACTCTAGGAGACGGGCAGAACACCCAAGGTAGGAGAGGGTGCTGGGGTGCTGTCCTCCGCCTCCTGACCCCCATTGGCTGCGGGCTGCTCCCAACTTCAGAGAACCCAGCACCGCCAGTCTCCCTTGTGCAGAACCAGAGAAGGCCTACACATGGAGAGGTGCACAGGGACTGGAAAGGGAGTCACTGGAAGGCTCCAGTGGCCCCATCCGCACCGTGGAAACAGAGCCCTCTCCAACCTCCTGCTTTTACGAGGGAAGTCAGACAACTCACTAGTCCACGGAACGGGAGGAGCAAACAGGAAGGGAGTGTGGGGAGGGGCTGCTTTTCACGGGAGTAGGGGGATCAGACCACGGTCACTGGATCGGAGACTGGACAGCGCATCACTGCTTTCCTAACGCTACTCTCGCCTCCTTACAATCTTATCTCCCTTCAGATGCCACGTGGACACGTCCAGAACAGAATTCTAGCTCCTTCACTCAAGAGACCCACAGACAAACAGGCTGTGGTACATCCATGCAATGAAATGTTATACAGCCCTACATTCAAAGCAGCATAAGACTCATACTTCCCAGGCTCAGTGTGTGCTCTGCGGTGACTGCCAACGACAAATCCTTGTAACAGTGTCTTTGCCCCCAAAAGACGATGGGACCCAGGTGAAAGAGAAAGGAGGGAAAGGTAGATCAGGAGGCTGAGTCCCAACTGAATGCTCAGGAATAGAGAAAAAGCACCAGCATCTTACATTCCACAAAGCTCAAATAGTGGCACCAGTGAGTCCTTCTTTGTCCCGGGCAGCAGCAAAGCAGCAGCAGGCCTCTCCCCACTGCAGAGTTCCCAGCCAGAGACCCTGCTGAGTGAGGGGTGAAGCTGTAAAAGGAGTCACTCAGAGTTGCACGGTCATTACACTGAACCGCACTTACGGTGGCCAGCAGACCCGACAAACACAGCTCTCTCCTGGAAACAAAAAGGGTGGGAAGGCACAGGAAGATGCAGCGGAAGAAGGGGCCCAGCTGCTGCCTTCTGACCCCGCCTTCTCCCCAGACTGAGTCCAACCGTGCAGCGGATGCTGGCGATCGGGGTCCCCACCTCATTCAGGATAAGCACGGGGACATACAGGGTCACCGCATGCTGGGGACAGCTGGGGTCCCTGGCACCAGATCGTGTAAGCAATGCAGGTGGAAATGCACAGAATTCCCTGCAGGGCGACCAGGCACTGGGCACAGGGCGCTTCTGCTGAGGTCTGGATGGAGATGCTGACAGTCAGGACGGTGGCCCAACACCAGCAAACGGCGTGGACAGGCGCTGGCCGGCAGGTAGATGGGACGTGGCTGGATTCCTCAGGAGCACCGCAAAGGCCTCAGCGCCTCCCCAGGGCAGCCCTCTCAGCTGCTAGAGTGGCAGACTTTCCATGGCTGCGCATCTGAGCTCCCACCAAAGACTTCAGCTTCTATGTCTCCATCTGCCGTTCACTCCTCCTTGGCCACGGGGCTGGCTTTGCTAGAGCACTGTCACCTTCCACTTGGGTTGTTGGACAACTTGTAAATGCCCTCCTGACTTCATTTTTGCCTGGCTGCAATCCTTCTTCCCCTCAGCTGTCAGATGAATCCTTTCAGAATGTAATTCTGGCCCTTTCATTCAATAGACAAACTGTGGTATATCCACGTGTGGAATATTATATAGTCATAAAAAGGAGTGGGGCACTGATACTTGTACACAGATGTTCTTAGCAGCATTATTCATTATAGCCAAAAAGGAGAAACAACCCTCCCATCCCTTGCAGACCTGGCTGACCACACCATGTTTCTGCTGTCTGTCCTGATCCTCTTCTGGATGAAGCTGTCCTCCCCCGAGTTCTGCTCAGCCTTCGGGTTTCAGCACCCCAGCTGGGCTCCCCTGAGGTCAGACTGTACACAGCCCAGCTCCCTCACACCCAGCAGAGCATCGGTCACAAGAGCTGCCCCAACCCAGGAGGGGACTGATCCATTCTGGCTGCCGCACAGGGGGACAGGGCCTGACCCTGGCTGGACCCTCGTCTGCCCCCCTGAGAGAGGCCTCCTCTCTTCCAGTTCCTCACTCTCACTCCCCAGGAGTTAAGCTAAATCCTCCCACGGGAAGGAGGTGGCCCCAGAAGGTTTCTGTCCCACCGTCGAGCCCTCTGCCCCTTTTGGATGCGAAGGTCACCAGCGTCAAGTCTGACAGCACCTGGCCCCTTGTCTCAGGGCCTTAGGAATGGTAGTCCCACTGGGCGTGGTGGTGGACACATGTAATCCCAGTGCTTTGGGAGGCTGAAGCAGGAGGGTGGCAAGTTTGAGCCCAGCCTGGACAACTTAGCGACTTAATGAGATATTGTTTTTAAATAAATAAATAGGGCTGGTCTATAGCTCAGTGCAGAGGCCCTGGGGTCCCTAATACCAAGCCAAGCCAAGCCAAGCCAAGCCAAGTGAAACAAAACATGCACAGCAAAGCAGGGCTCTCAATGGTTGTCCGAGAAACGATCTCTCAGGAAACAGCACTGCCTACTACGTATTTGGCATTCAAACAGCCTCAGAAATGACGTTTGTGATCAGCTGCCCTTCACAGATAGGGAAGCAAGGTGCCACCACGCACCCGAGGTCACAGGAGAATCAGACCTGGGGCAAAAACCTCGGTCTGTTGGCGCCAAAGCCTGAGCTGGAAGTAGTGGCTTAGCCACCTCTCCATGGGCCCCAGAGTATGCCAGTCCTGCACCAGAGAAAGTGTATGACAAGTCACAAGTAAGCCCCGGGGCTGGGGTGTCACTGCCTCCCCCCTCCCGCTACCCACCTAACGCGAACTGGGTCAGACCTGTGCTTTCCAACCTTGTCTGTCTTCTACCAAGGT